ATTAACAAACACAGTACACTGGTAGTGTTAGTAATTGGAAATTAATTATTCATTTGTTCACCTGGTTCCACAGCTGCCTCGTCTGGTCCTGTCTCGTCTGGTCCTGTGGTTGCTACACCACCGTCTGATCCAGCTCGGCCTGTACCACCTAATGGCCATGGTTCCGCAGCTGCCTTGTCTGGTCCTGCCTTGTCTGGTCCTGTCTTGTCTGGTCCTGTCTCGTCTGGTCCTGCGGTTGCTGCGCCACCGTCTGATCCAGCTCGGCCTGTACCACCTAATGGCCATGGTTTCGCAGCTGCCTCGTCTGGTCCTGCGGTTGCTACTCTGCCATCTGATCCAGCTCGGCCTGTACTACCTAATGGCTGTGGAGAGTCCTCAAATCGCAACTTTACTGAAGAGTCCTGTGTCACAAATTCCCACAGTCGCTCCCACAATTCAGAGAGACAACATATATATTATGATTACAGTTCAGAGGGATCAGCTAACATGCCTCATTTTGTGTCAAATTATTTTGGGATATATCTTGTAACAAATAGTCCAGGGCTTTTAAATACTAGCAATACACAACCTTTACATATTTTGGGCAGTTGTTGTAGCCACAATAATTTGTGTCTAGGGCAGCTCTGCAATCAAAGTGAGATAATGTCTAACAGACATTGGATCTTAACTGCAGAGTACTGTCTCACAGGCAAGTCACAGAAACTATTTATTTGTTCTGATTACATACGGCAGATTCATTATATTGTGTCAAATTGTTTTGGGAAAAATCTTGTACCTGTAACAAATATTCAAGTCTTTTTAAATACTGACATTATACACCCTTTACATATTTTGGGCAGTTTTTGTAATGGTAAATTGCTCATATCTCCTCATGTATGGCAATATGGCATACATAACAATAAATTGTTGGAGCTCAGTAAATCTGTTTGTCAAGTAAGAACAAGGTACGGATTTGGAAGTGGTTTTCTCCTCTTTAAAAATTTTATCCTTACAAACTTTCATGTTATTAAACCTTACTATGATTTTAAAACTGGTCGGCTTACTAATGACATCACTGTTACTTTTTCACATGAAATTCAAGAGTCTGAGTGTGATCTTATAAATGTAGTAGGTGTTTTTTGCTGGGAATTTTGTGTCGAGTTTGGTAATAAGCATGACTGGGTTTTGTTAGAGATCAATGACAGTATGCCATTGCCCAATGGTCTTTCACCACACATTAAGTCAGTTTCTGACACTGAATGTTCCAACATCTTCATTATTGGACATCCTAATGTGGAAGTAAAACAAGTAGATTTTTGTTCAGTTGTTGGTCCTGAGAACCGCAGACAGGTTGTGGAGGAGAATTGGAGGAAAAATCCAGGTTCCGATGATGATTACGTTAATCGTGTGGTAAAAGAAATTCCAGGACTCAATGGCAGACTGACATACAACTCTAATTTTAATCAGGGCTCTTCTGGTTCTCCTGTGTTTAATGAGGAAGGTAGTCTTGTTGGAGTGCATTCGGGAGGATACTTTTACTGTGATGCTAAGGGTCAGCCTCATAGTCTCATCGATTTTAGCTATCCTTTATCTAGCATCATAAAGAAAATTGAATCGCATATGGTTTAGAAGAAAAGCTTTTACATGTTGATTTCCTAACTCATGTATATTGTAAATCAAAAATAAATTGAGTGTTGAAACCAAACTGCTTTTTGAGCTTTATTGAACAAAGTCTTTCTTAAGGGATCACCAATTTATAGCCACACTGAGACAGAAATTTATGTGTGTGCACAATTCTATTTATTTTGCAGTTGTAGCAAATTTTCTCACAGTCATGGAGACACCTTTTTGACAACCAAGGCTAGGGTCTGGCAGGGAAACTCTACAATTAGTTAAAAATAATAATAATCAAACCCTACACAGCAAAATAAACCTGCGTCTTTAGATCTGGTCAGTATTCTGTTCATTGTGTGTAGGGCAGATATTTACTGAAAATAAATCTGAAAGTGACCCTGATTCAGGCTCTCATATGATTAAAAAACAACAACATAAAAAGCAGCTAAACAGCAAACCCTGTTTATTTATTTATTTATACAACCAAATTACAACCGAGCTGGATTTATACAACCCCTTGTGGGACAATTAAAGGGTTATTCTATTCTATATGATATAAACTGCTCATATTGAAAATATTGATAAGGTATGATATTTTGAAGCCTTTGATCAACACTCCATATATATTCAGCCACAGTTGATTATAAATTTTTAAATTTGAAATAAAGCATGCACAAAAAAAGAGAAAAAATACAGATAAAAACAGTACAAAGGGTATAAATGTAAACCAGACTTATTTGAAATTGTACTGTGTAAATGTCACATCAAACTGAGAAACCTCAACATGATATTTATCACATCCATATTATTTGAGCTCTTTAACATCGATTAAAGATAAGATTGGCCGTGGAACTAAATTTGAAGAAACTAAGATTCTCTTAGTTTCTTCAAATTTAACATTGGAAAGTTGTTATTACTTGCATTTCAAAAGCACAGAACCATCATACATGCATTATTATTATTAATAATATTATTTATAGTAGATGATGCATCAGTTTAACAAAACCTTATGTGAAAGAGTAAATTGAAAAAAAAAAGTATTAGTTTTTTTAAACAAGTGTCCTGACTTATTAAAAATAACGACTGCTTTTACTGCTCGAACTGTTCTCACTTTATCTTCCGTCTGCAGTTAACCTTCTGTGCACTCAGTTAATATCCATGGGCTCTGGCTGCTCTCTCCGAGAGAAGAATTCAAAGAAAGCCTTCAAACTCTCGTCATCTACAGCCACTGAACTGTTCACTACTTTTTTAAACCTTATGAGATTTCTGCTCTCAACGAGCTTTTTCACACCAACCAAAAAGTCTTGCTGTCGAGCACATTTGCAACTGAGGTATTCTTTCAACACATCAAACTTTTCTCTCTCCACCATTTGAATAATGATGTGCTCAATGATGTCAGAAAAGGGATACCCAAACTCTATGACACTCTGGTTTTGACCCATCACACCAGGGTAGACATACCCTCCTGAATGCATTGCAACAACATCGCCATCCTCGTTAAAGACAGGAGAGCCAGACGACCCAAAATACAAACAAGACTCGTAAGTCAGAAGGTGTTTGTGCTGTTTAAGATCAACTGCCACTTTTTCAAAGAACCTGCGAGTAACGAACTGGACAGGCTCATTATTGTTACTGTAATGCCTTTCCACAACCTGATTCCGGTTCTCAGATGAAACAACCAAACAAGATTCAATCTTTTCCACCATCTGGATGTCCAACAATGCTAATTCCACCACTGTGACGAATGAATCCACAGTGTGTTAGGAGACTACCAGGCAATATCTGGACATCACTGAGCTTTAACAAAGCCCAGTCAGTCCCTGACACATCAGGTGAGTAATCATAACCAGAAACCTCTTCCACATCTATCAGGCCATCGTTCTGCTCCAGACTTTCATAAGAGAAAGTGACAGTGACCCGCTCATTAAGCCGGCCGTTATCATTACAGAAATCTTTAATAACATGGGCATTTGTGAGGACAAATCTGCTGAACACGAGGAAACCGCTTCCTTGTGGTTTCCCATTTATTCTTACTTGACAAACAGAATGACTGAGTTCCATGAGTTTCCTCATTGTTTTTACTTCTCGGCACGACTGAGCATTGCTCCCAAACTCCAGACGCAAAAGATTCTGGGTGAAATTAAGATCATGAGCTTGTTTTTTGCTGCTTTTGATTGAGTCTTTAAATTCTGAAGACAAACAATTTTGCATCTGCTTTAAATAAATATTTCCACACAGATTTGGTTTCTTTTCTGCTACATTGTCGGTCTCTGATTCAACTGTGTTAGTCTGCTGTGAAAGCTCCTCATACCCACCAGAATCACCTGCCTGAGATTCACTTTGCAGCACGTAAGCGTCATCAAGACTGCCAGGCTGACTTTCTGGTGGATCAGACTTGTTGAGCAATTTGATCTTAAAAGTTTCATCATCAAGGTCGTCAACCAGATTGCACATCTCTGTGACCTGGGGTCTCACCTGGTGTGATAGACCGCAGCCTCTATGGATCTTGTGCTCAGAGCTTGTTCCTGTGCTGCCATGATTAATGTCTCTGTGCTGTTTTTCAGTCCAGCTTTGTCCAGCCACTGGTAGGATTTCTGGATGTCAGATGGTTCATTTTTACTGCCAGGCGCTCATGGAGTGCAGTCAGCTTCTTCAGCCAGTAGGCATGAACATTACAGGGCCTGGTGCTGTCCAACTCTTCATACTGGAGACCCTGTCTTGGATGTCTGCCACTGTGATGGTTACTGGTCCCTGTTCAGGGAGGTTGCTATGGTCTGCCCTCAGATCCACTAGCCATTGAGCATTGCAGTTATGGGTTGCATCCTTCTCCCATATGCTCTTCCAGTATTGCTCCATCTCTAGCCTTGGTGGTGCTGTTCTCATATTGTTCCCTGTATTTAAATGTCTTCTTTTCCCTTTACCCAACCTGGAAGCTAAGCTTCTGAGTCTTATCCCATGTAGGTGGCTCTTCTATGTTGTGCCAAAAACAAAAACAATTTCTTTCCAAGATCCAAGCTTTTTCACTTGTTTTTTCTTTGTCTAATATTTTAGCCCTCTCAAGGCAGGTGTTGCAGATTTGCAACAGTTAAAAGCTTACAACCTGATTACCCCACATACATATTTTATGAGTTTTTTTTACTCAGAAGTACCACTGCAGGTATTCTTTTGTGCATTAGCAACAAAAACTTAATTTGAGCCTGAGAGAGTTAATTTGTTTAATGATTTGAAACACTTTTTCACACCACTGTATGTACGTAGAAGTTCAGTTCAAAAACTATGAACAGAATCCAATATCCGCTTCATTTGAATTTGACTTTGCTGGTAATGTGAATCACTGCAACTGTACTAATGCCCAGTTTGTAACAACAGACACGATGCCTCATACTACAAAACAACCCCAAGAGATGCAGTTAAATGCCCTCTCCAAGTCCAAAACACCCGACATATATTGACCAGTTGGGCTTACTTGTCGACACTATTCTTCATAGGATAAAGTGCTGGTGCCGTGTTCCACCACCAAGAGCCAAGATCATTTCCAGAATTTTTATTTATTTAATCGTAATTCTAGGAATCTTTTGGCACATGGTGTTTTGGAAATGTAACAGTTTCTGTTTGTAGACTTTAAAAAACTACAGTTGATTCATTCTGATGATGTTATATTACTTTAAATACAAATTCAAACTAGGTCCTCATGGTACTAATGTCACTTGTAACTGTACTGTGTATACACAGGACTACTGATATAGGGTTGTGTTTTTGTGGCATTTAAGTTTAAATTGGCCTTGGACAACCATTCTTCCATAGCATTAACAACAGACGAAAAAAAATAATAAATAAATAAAAATAAGAACATCATGACCGTGTACCTCCATACCACAGAGGATAACTGATATACTGCTGATCGCTGGTTCTGAAAAGTCCTAATTTCATACCGAACCTGGAGGTGGCTCTCACAGTAAGAGGCCACACACTGCAGATGGGAATTGGAGAATTTCAGGGTCCTCCAAGTGCACACACCACAGGCCACATCTTTAAGTCCAACATAGTGTTGTGGATGAGGAGCAGTTTAGAGTGCTAGTCTTCTTCAGCTAATCACGTGTTTACAGAACTAGCTTTGGTATGAAGCCCTTTCTGCACTGATAAAAGCTGGAAACTCTTCTTAATCTCCTCCTCTTCCTAGTAGTTCTTGATACAGCTTATTCAGTAGTTGTGCTCACAGATAAGAGTTGTTGGATACTTGAGTAAATCCAGACAGATTAAAAAGCACAACTGAAGCCCTCATTCAGACATTTTCATTTTCTTACAGTAGATCAAATCTGAGCTTTGATCAGCTTAAGCCTGTGTTTCCTGTGTTTAGATCTGCAGCAAATAGGACTCATCACTTTTTCCTTGTTTCTCTCATTTTGTCAGGCAGCTCTGACAAAATGAGGGAAAATGTGGACAGAGATAATTCACTGTGTTAGAGAGGAGGCAGCAG